GCAAGGGGGAGAGCGGCTTTGAGGAACTTTCAAACATGTATTCTCCTCAAGTTTTTCGTAATTTGTTTATTCATTTTCTTTTCATTGGCCTGCGGTTCTTTGAGCCGCGGGCTGTGCGTGCACCGTGCGTAGTCCCACGGGCTGCAGGGTGACTGGGCTGGCCCCAGGTGACGTATTCACGATAGCCACGCGTTCCCCCTTTCCTTTCACCCTCCCCTCCCCCCCTTCTCCCTCTCTCACCTTACTATAAACAAAACATGTCAGCAGCAAAGACAAGACGGAAAGGGGGGCGGAGTGGCCGGCCAAAGAGCAGGGGGTGGGGGGAGGGGGCGCTGACGGGGAAGCGCAGCGGCGGAGCAGAGTTGAGGGGGACAAAAAAATAAAAAGAGGGGAGAAAACGAGAAGGCAGCGGGTGCGTGACATCACATGCTGGCTGTAGGTCAGTTTTCCTCTTCCCCCAGAGATACGTCCGCTACGCCGCGCCACTCTACAGTTCATGAAACTCGGTGCGTCAAATAAAAAGTGCCCCCGCTCCTCTCCTCACCTCCCTGCAAGTCGACAGTGGACAGACGTCGACCCGTCGACCCCCCCCCCCCCCCCCCCCCCTGTTGGAATCCTTCCAAGATTCCTCAACATCATTCTTTTGACGCGACGGCACGACAACAACAACACAGACCACCTGTACCTCAGAGGATTTCCGAAACGAATTTCACTGAGTCAATCGCTCAAGTTTCTTACGAACACCTGTTCTTCATCACCCACGTACTAAGATTTTTGATCAGTCGTAATTCGAATAGATTCATCGTGTTATTTAGAGCCAGGTTTATAATACCAGAGAACGTAGTATTCCTATTTCCCACAAACCCTCTCGTATTTAAGGCTGATCTAGAGCCTTGAACGTTAAGGACCGAATCCCTCGTAATATAAAGAATTCGGGAACTAAAAAAGATGTGTAAATTCCAAAGAATAATGGCGTGTTCTTCCTTCTCTCCGTCAGCGGTGCACAACACATTTGCGGCGCCCACGCACACAACCTCAGGGGTGCCTCAGAGGTTGCCGGTCCTAGTGGGCGCGCCGGCTCTGGGTCCCGGCGGCGGACAGCGCCCCGCTGCGGCCGCCAGGCAGCCGCGCCCGACACGCCCGCGCGCCCGGCTGCCTACCGAGCGCGGCGTCCCGGCCCACCGGCTGGCTCCAAGGGGGGCAAACCAACTGCAACTGGACCAGCGACAAACCACACCGACATGGAACAGCTGAGCCACACCAATTACAGGATCGTCTGCGTCGCCTTGGAGCACCAGCAAGCCAGAGAAGAATGGGAGCGGAAGAAGAGAGTTTTGTGTGGACAACAAACGGTAATCCAATTTGCCTCCCGCGCAATGCCAGCAAAGAGGAGACTCTCGCTTTCATTCGCCGATCCTTGACAGACTGAGTCGTCCCGCCGCCGCCGCGCCGCCTCCTCCTCCTCCGCCACCGGCGTGGCGTGGCGTGGCGTGGCGTGGCGCGACGCTGCTGCACTTGCCATTCGCAGTTTACGACCAGGCGCCGGCCGGCCGCGCGGGCAACGGCCGGGGCTCTGTCAGACGAAAAAGGCGCCACGATTATTACGTAAGATTGACCCCGACAGGGAGGGGGGACACGGGGCTCGCGTCGCACGCTCTGTGGAAAGTAATTGCTCGTTTTACAGGGAAAATTTACACGAAAATTTTTGTTAAGTTACGATTTAAAATTTAAGAATTACAAAATTTTGTTGAAGCTACCAATTAATTGACTTCGAGCTCTTTGACAAGCAAAACCGATAACGATAGGAAATCATCGTTTGTAAATGTTACAAAATCTATTGTCAATTAATTTTAACAGTGCTTGCTTAAACCCTTCTATCTCACCAACAGACCGAACGAAAGGCGCAACATTTTGGTCCAGGGGGTTATTTAACAAAGCGGCATCAAAACGGTTCCAACAAACTACGAAATCAAAGTTTTTAGACGACTAGAAACCGAGAAAGTGTTTTTTGTCATCCTGCGATTTTTTTATATATTTTTTTACCAGGGTAGTTTCTATCATATGGCTTGCGTAAAATATGGCAATTATCATGGCTGAGTTAATTATTTTCCAAATAACTGGGCTTACCCTTCTCGCTCCTCCGTTTCCCTGATCTGCTATGGCCGAGGGATGGGGCGGGGGCGGGTTGCTTGTCAGACTGGGGCTTTACTTGAATCTCCCTCTCCCTCTCGTCAGACCGTCAGCCCCATGCTCCCGGGACCGGTGCGTTTGAACTGCAGCCAGTGCAGTTCACACAGGGAGAAGTGGAGCAGGGGCCCCTTGGAAGGCGCGGAAGGGGGGTGGAAAAGGGTGTATGGGGGCTGCCAAGGGATGGGCTGCAAGCTCTCTCTATGATGGATGGAGAACTAACCTTGCACAACATAAGGGCTCTTGTGTGAACGACACACCACAGACACCAGGGAATAATACAGAACAGACACAGCATCTCAAGGAATGCATGCTAGTGTTTTGCTACAGGTATATGACTCCAAAACATACTTTTCTAATTGTTTCCAAATGTAATATAATGACATTACAGTCATTCCTTCGATGAAAGGAAGATACTTCCAAGAGAACATTGGGCAATATCAATGGAGTTCAATGGGAGCACTGACTATACATTCATGCAGGTTTTCAATGCTTAAAATAAAACCTGAAATAAGCAAGGTCAGCAAACATCCAAAAAAGTAAGCAGTTTTTTTGCAGAGAACCTTACGTAAAAATTTACATAGATGGGATAAAATCTTGAACGAAGCATTGTCACCAAAGATCCCAAAAAGGAAGTAGTTTTTTTAAAAAGATGAAATTCTTGTGTGAAAAGATACAAATGGGTTAAGAGGTAGGACAGCTACAAGTTCAACATAGCTTCACAAACTGCAAACTACATAAATTGAGGATGCCCAGAAAACTTTTCTGGGAACATTCAGAAATTTACATGTACCAAATGGATTCTTAGTAACAATAGATAGGAAATTAGAAGGAACGATAATAGGATTGACTGCATTCTACTTAAACATAAGGGAAAAACAAATTACGTTCATTGAGAAAACCCATACTCAAGAAAATTGTAAGAAAAGTGTAAATGGCAATGAAATATTATCTACTACTGAAAATTAAGACTAGATATGATGTAAACATAAAAGTACTGTACCATACACATAACTGTTTACTACCGTGATAGAAAAATGAATGTCAACAAATGAATGAATTACCAAAACACACAGACAATGACAATTAAAGTACATGACAGTAAAAGTGATTTCTCAAAATAAATGTTACTCATTCTTAAATGGCAAGAAAATCTCAAAAGTTTGACAGAACTCATTCATAAGAAGATATTAAAACGGTTCCTATAGGGTTTAGTCCATATGCTTATTAATGTATAGACTTGTGAATGATGCCAAACCTTTGAGACTTTCAGTATGCGCCACATGAACGGAAACAATTGATAATGTGGTTGTATACAAATACCATCATATCCCCTGAATGACCCTTAACCTTAAAATTCTTCAAAACATTTTCCATGCAGAAAAATAATAAATATACTCACAGGACTCTGGTTGCGGTATCCAGGTGGTAGGTGCTGCCCTGGGTACGATGAAGGCCACTGGTTGTAACCGTAGCCAGCGGGGCCTTGTTCACCAGGCTTTTGCATGTTCATGTCACCGTAACTATTAGGATATCTATGCACTGGGTTGGACGCTTGCAAGAGCTGATTAAGTGTAGGAGTAGGTCCAGTAGGCTGGGAGATACTTTGCCCAGACAAAAACCTTTGCTGTTGTCCATGAGGAGAGAAAGGTGTACCAGGGCTGTTGGAGTTGGCCCCACCACTGGGCGGCCGAGGAGGAATCATAGGTCCAGCGGCCTGAGGTTTCCCAGGGAAGTGGTGCCGCATCCCCGGTGGTGCGTAGGGGTGGTGAAGGTCCGAATTGTTGCTGCCAGGATGCTGGTCCAGGTGCGGGTAGCCGCCCCTGCTGCCCGGGTACCCCGCGCCCGCGCCGCCGTACCCCGGGGCGGCGGCAGCAGCATTGTCAGGCAGCTTGCCGTAGCTCGGATCACCGCCGGGGGGATCCGAGTTGGGGGGAAAAGGTTTGCCCGAGCCGTCCGAGTTTATTTTCGCACTGTCTACGTCGCCACTGTTCCCGCCCTGGTCACTGTTTACGTTGCCCGGAGGTCCTGCGCCCGACTCCTGTCGGTACTGACTCATCTCCAAGCCTGGGATAAGGCTGCTCTTGTGGCCGACGGGCAGCTTGGCCTTGCCGCTCACATTGTCGCGTCCGCCGTTCTTCTCCGTGCCATTCTGTAAGCCGGGGCCGGCCACGTCCTGAGGCTGCTCCGGCTGCTGCGCTTGCTCGCGAATCACCTCCTTGTGCTGGTGGTGTTCGGCTTGCGTTGCAGCCATGTTAGGCGAAACCTCTCCGACTGCCAACACCCCGCCGAGCAGCCAAACACAGCCAGTTTAACTTGCTTTGCGCTCCAAATCCTCCGGGAACTTGTACATCCAACATTATAGCACGCGCGCCGCGATCCGCATCACTAAGATAACGCACAGTCTTCAGTTAAATACATTAAAACTACGAAATAAAACTCTCACTTCACAACATTCACCATCATTTCGCATTGTAGGCCTACACTTCGGTAGCGCGAAAGGAGGTTAGGGGTAAAAAGATATATTCATCCGCAGCAATATGAAAAAAAATTCTTGGAATGTAGGCTGCATTTGCCGTCTTTATGAATAAAAACCAACACCTTGCGCTGTAGACGATTTTTAAAAGTCGTTTGCCTGTTTTAATAAAAGTTTGTTGATGTTCCACATAAATATATACATCCAGAACAGACCTACTTTCTTGGGAATTAAACGCGAATACGGGGCGGAAGGACTTTCGTGGCGTTTGTAACTTCTCCGGTGCCTTCGGGCAGAGAAGCGTTCCGAACGCGTTTGAACAAAGTACCCAGTTTCTGCGGCAAAAATACACAAAATATTTTTAAAATTTTATTAAGAATGGTTTTAATAAATTGGATCATTTTCTTCAAAGTTATTGTCTGTAAATCGGTCACAACAAAATTTAAGGTTTGCCCAGAGCAAAGTGATCCATCTCTGCCAGGACACCGGTAACTTGTGCGGTTGTCAAGCTGTATGTGTTTTCCGAGCGAAAGGCTTGAATGCTAAAGAAATATATTTTTCATGTTTCAACTCAGTATTTTTATGAATTATAAAAATCACACGTCCTAATTCCGAAAATAAATGACACTGTTACTTGTGTGTATTTAGGAACGAACCTAAAGGTCCGCGTAGCGTCTGCTACTGCTGACCGTCTGCTTGTGTGGAAGGCCGCGACGTGCTACGAGGCCCGAGTACTTTTAACCGCTGTCGGAGTGCCATTTAACTTTGATTTTGTTAAATGTTTATCTGAATTGAGGGTTTAGTTTTAATTTTTCATTCAAACAATGGCATCGAAAGGTGGGCCCATGGTAATGGGCACGGATGGTACAGACTTTGCTCATCGACAAAGAGTAGCAACACATTATTTGCTAAGGCAAGTTTTCTGCTAGCAGAATTGGCTTCCTCAAGTCTTAGATACCCATTTGATCTCTTTCTCTAAATTATTGTTATTGAGTCCATTGGTGTGATCTACCTGTGATCTTTCAAATCACCGCATCCTTAAGTCGTCAAGCATACTTTGCTATCACATATATAAGGTTATGATGTAGTTTGTCTGTTCCATATGTACTTTCTTAAAAACTCATTTTTTTGATTCTTGAGGAGGTATTTACTCAAATAAACTTTAGCATTATGCTACCTTCCATAATTTTTCAAAATCATTTTCAACTGTTTTAAAACCTGGTGGTGTATCTATTTCATTTTTTTTTTGTAACTTTGTAAATGCATAACATTAACTATTTTTTATTTTTGTTACCCCTTTATTCATTTTCCTCAGTGCCCAGAGTAAATCCCGTTTGAAATACTGCATATTCTTCCATTACCTACTATTTTTCGCAATGCTAGCCAAGCTGTCAGCTGACATCCTAGACAGAATTGATGTTTTTATCCTTGAGATAGAAGAATTGCAAATTCCACAGGTATTTAAGTCTCTCCTGAACTTACATTGTGCACAGAGTGTGGTATGTTTTCTAATAACTCAATATCAAAACGGTTGACTGTATGGTAAATCTTACTTTTCAGCCTTTATGGTGGGAATACCTGTGGTGTGTCAGCTTATTGCTGTCTTTTATTGGACTCTCTGCAGCACGAAAGAATAGAATCAGTTTGATGAAACGTTACATGCTTGGCATCATTATATTTGGCATTGGTCCTGTACTTTATGCTGCTGGTTATTATTTCAAAGAAGCCTGGCAGTATGTTCGCACAGGTGACACGGAAGACCTCCATCTTTGGCAGGTATGTTTTCCCTCGTCTTTTTAAATGGCAACAAAACAATAAGTGTGATAGTTAACTTAAAATACTAGCCACACAACCTTCTTTTCCAGGGATATCCTTATGCCTTGCTATGGTTTGCTTTCATCATTCTTGCCCTCCAAGTTCACTTTTTTTCATTATATTTTGCCTGGAGTTCAATCCAAGCATGGAAAGCAAGAGGTGCAGCTAAAAGCAAATAAGATGAAATACTGTACAATATATTTTTGAAAATGATCTTAAAGAAATTGGTACAAACATACATTTTAATCAATACTGACACAACATCCTCAAGGGAACAAGTGCTCAAATCCAACAAATCTGTCTTATATCGGGATTATCTTTCTTAAGACCTCCCACTTCTTCCAATTGACCTATCACTTCCATTTGTAAAAAGAAAAGCAAAAGCAAATTTTGCATTTGAACAATTTAAACCAAGATGTGTTTTAATGGTCACATCTTTAATGTATTGAACAAATTTTGTGACTCAACAATTTAATTTCCACTCAGTCATTGCAGTTGTGGGTCTTGCCACTCTCACCTAATCCTACTAGAGCTGAGGTAATTATTTGAGTAGTTTTAAATATCTCATTGGTGACTTTTGATAACACAATGTGTGACGTGACGTCTCTAAGACTGCTACTTCATAGAAGTTTGACTGAAAAATTTAATTGATTTCAACTTGTTATTGTTGAGATATATATTTGTTAAGTATACTAGTGAAGCAAATGATATAGAAGTGAAACCTATAGAAATAGGCTTAATGTCACCTTGACAGCCTTTGTTATTATATTATTACATTTTTGTTTAAATGACTTACATACAACTCAACAACAACCATGTTTGAAGTCTGTAAATTGCATCCATGACTCATTAAAAATAAAAATAAAATATCTCTTGATAGTCTTAAATATGTATTTCCTTTTCTGTTAAAATAAAATAAGGGAAAAAATACAATTTTCAAAACACATTCTAAGAAAACAATGTATTCTAAAAATCAAAGATCACAATAAATCACATGTTGCTCTAATGAGTGTGACTAAGCTAGACATCTACTTTTTTCTCTATTTTTGGTTGTTCTGACATTTTAATCTCTCTTCGAACAGAATTCAAAAGATTTAGTACCCGCGGCTCTGATTCAATTTTTCCCTCCTTCAATGAAGGCTTTCTATTTCCAATAGGCTTAAATTTAGAACCAGAAAAACACTTCAATTCATCATCATCTTCTTCAATAGTAATACCATGTAGCTGCAAGGGACGATCAATCATCATACCAAAAGATTTGTCATTTGCACCTGGATTTCTCACTTGTTTCACAGTGATGCTAGAACTACAGGTTTGGTCGATACCTTCTGAAAATTGAGAGTAAGTACTTGTTTCACAATGTGAATTAGAAACATAACTTTCTACATCACAGTATTCATTGCTAACAATAACAGCTTCAGGCGTAGTAAGGTCAATTTCTTTTAAGTCCTGTAAAGGAACATCATAAGTTTCTTGCACAGCATTGTCATTGAACACACAGTCATCACTATTCAAAACACTTTCTTCAAAATCAGGAATAAAATTAGTTTTACGATTGAAGTCTTCAACATTTTGAGTCATCCCGACAGGCCCAGTGGCAGAGCATAACTGGCTTTCACAAGGAGTAGCAGAGGGAATAACATTGTTTTGGGGGACAAACTCCTTGGTGTCCAACATGGTTTCTGTAACACTAGTAACAAAAGCTCTCTCAGTACTTGAATCAGCTGAACTGCTGCTGCTACAAAATGTTTGCTTGTTTTCACTTGAGGCGATGTTTTGAAGACAGGAGGCTTCCACATTAAGAGTTGAATTTTCAAAGAGAAATGGAATGTTCTCCTCTCTTATAGACTGCAACATATCCAGTGTTATATCACTGTCAGCAGGGACTGTAGCAACAAGTATTGGAACAGCCTGGTGGTCTTCACTAGTCACTTCTGTAGGTGTTTCATGAAAATCCAGTTTTCTTGCAGTTTTTTGAACAAAACATTTATTTTTGCCGGATGAGGGCACAGGTAAAAATAATACTTTATCTAAAGAATGAGAATCCCTATTTGACTTTCTAATGTCCTCCTCAATTAGAGACGTGAGTGATAGATCAGGCAATGCTAAATCAATGCACTGATCATCATTATTTGCTGGTGAAAGTTGGATTTGTTCTTGATCACAATCACAAATATGTTCATACACCAGTGTGTTTCCAGTCAGACATTGAGATAGTGAAGACCACAGGCTAAGAGGCAAGGACGATCCACATTTGTTGGTTAAAACCACAGTACTGTGACTGATCTCATTCTCAACTTGTGAGGCAGAAGACAGAGATTCTGAGATAGGATTTTCAAATCTTTCAATGTTTTGATGATGTAAAGATTGGCTTACGGATTCTTTTCCTGTATCATTTTTATCTCCAATGATTGAAGGGTTTTTACTTATTGGAGACAACGCATTCTTGAGGAGGTGTTTAGCGAGCGGAGAACTCATCAGTGATGCTTCTTGCACTGCCGCACAACTTTCTTCATCACTCTCACCATCAGCAGCAGCCTCTACATCGCTGCTCTCACAAATGCTTTGTTTGAAAGGTTCCATGTTGTGTTCAAATTCCATACAATTCTCAGAAGCCTTGTTTTTGATAACATGAGTATCATTGAGGTTTTCTGAGGTGTTCAAAGGATCACCTCTCATCTCACTTAACTGCTCAAAATTACAAGGTTCTGATGTATGCAATTCTCTGGCATTCTCTTCATAAGCCTCCATTTCTGAAGTTTTGCTTAAGTTTTTAGATTTTTTGACAATTTCTTCCTGAGACTTTTCATTAAGGCATCCTATTATAGCAGGTGGTATCTCACTTTCAGGATCAAGCTCTGCCACGCTTGGAGTCACGAAGTAGCCATTTTCTTGATCAAGTTTTTCTTTGTTAAGTTTTAATTCCATTTTGCTTGTAGTTTCGTATGGTGTAAAAGCAATTGACTCAATGATTTTGTCTTTACCGTCTTCATTTGTATTATTCTGTTGTATTTGGTCAGTCAGGTCCACATCAAGTTTTAACTGTTCAACTGAATGAACATTTTCATGACCCCTAATTAATTGAGATTGACATAATTTACTCTCATTTTTATTGGCTGTGTCTTGAGAAATTTCACCAGTATACTCGTCTAATCTTAGCTCCTGATTGTCTTCACTAGAGCCTAAACCAGCTACACCTGAGGGTCTTAGATGTTTCTCATTTATTTGATCGGGAAGGAAAAAGTCATCGAATGAAAATGGTAGATTATGAGGCTGTAACTTCTCATTTTGTGCTTTTTCTAAGGCAGCGTCTAATTCATTGAGTGCTTCACTTTCCCAATCATATGAAGAATCTTGATTAGAAGGGTTTAATTCCTTCTGACTGCCAGACTTCTGATGTGTGAAATCAGCACAATTTTCTGAAGTTTCATCATCACTCCCATCTTCTAATTTACTTACTTTCAGGTCCATTTGTTCTATCCACAATGGTAATTTTGCCAAATCATCATCTTCATTGTTAATATTAGTTTTCCATTCTGTGTAGCAAGGGAAAAGAAAAATTTCAAAATTTCCAGATTTGTCTACGACTTAAAACAGCATTCAAGAAACAATTCCTTACCAAGTGGACTTTTAAGCATATCCCTATAAGATCTGTGAAAAAATTCGATGTCATCTAAATCCAGCTGTTGGAGGGGTATTGCGCACTAGAAATAAAGATATGCAAGTTGAAATTATTGCGAGACATACTTCATTTGCATGACAATAACATCAATATTGCTCACTTTAAAACACATGCGGAAAGCTTCGGTAGAATTGATTTGTTTAATTTCCATATCATTATGACAGAACTTGCATTTCTTCGGGACAAGTGCATGCTGAAAAGAGAACAAATTTTATCAAACATTTGATAATTAAATTGCACCAGTAAGATTTAACAACATTCAAAATAGAGATTGCTTAAACTCACCCTAGGAGTTGAATAAGTAGGTTTATAGTGCAGGTCTACTGAATCCATTGTTATTGCTTGTGATAAGGCAAGCCCTAAAACACAAATATAGCAGATTTGGAACTAGATGCAATGGAAACCAATAGGTTATGGTGATGGGAAAAAAATATCAGAAAGTCTTGCAGTGTCATTTTAAGTGTCAGGCTGAAACGTCTTTTAATTAAAATCCGGGCCAAATGCGACTCAAAATATAGAAGATATGCACACATTGGCTAAACGAATGAAAACGTTAGACCAAACCAAATGTGACTCACGGCAAATACGTCGCTTATTGGCTCCCTTGTATGAACACGACAATCACTCACTACATCGCCAAAGTGAGGAAACTTAACAAGTTAAAAAGAGGATGAAAAGACTTTTTCTTTCACCAGTTAACATTCCACAACATTTGTGTTTATGATATAATCATGAAGTGATACAAAAACAACGCAGACGATGCACACACGCGCACACCACCACGGGCGCATGCGCGTTAGCATATAGTCGGCGCAGCATTACTTTGGTCTTCGGGTCCAATAAGCCGCAGTGGCGGTGCCGTGGGCCCCGAAGACCAAAGTAATGCTGGACCAACTATATGCTCATTGTCGCACCGGCGCTGATATATGAACGTTTCGGAAGATTGTACCAAAATGACTAAAATCAGATGTGGCACTCGTGGCACTTCCCTACCGAACCAGACCAATTACCAATTCAAATCCATCATTTTAGTAAAAAATTCATCGTAACTCCGCATGGCGAGAGCAACAATGGATGAAATGGGGTAGGAGAACTGGAGTGTCTTGAAATATTTTAAGCATTTTAATTGGAAGTTTCAGTAAATTGCTTCACATGCATTTTATCAGATCAAACAGAATCAAATATGCAGGAACTCTTTAGTAATGATAAAGAGGGGCAAAAAGGGTGAGGGTTGAGCTACTGAGACACCAAAGCAGACCAAAATGGGCAAGTCGATGGAGATTTTAAGGGGTTGTATCAGGGTTAAACATTGAAAAATGAAATAGGGACACCCATGCTTGCCGCGTGCTAAGGATGAGTTGGCTGTAAAACAACTATGGAAAAAAACACAAACCTATCTGCATTCTATAAAGAACAGAAGGCATTTGGAAAAGGTGGAAACAGTAATTAATTCCTCAGTACTTTATTACTATAGAGCATATTACCAAATTGTTAATGACACACAAGAAACATTAAGAAAATTGCAAATGTAGAACTTCCCACCCAATAATAAATCGACATTCCTAAATGTACTCACATTTAATGAAAATTATCTGTTTTAAACTGTGATTTAACGAATATGTACAACTTGTAAGCCCTTCCAAATGAGACAGGTAACTGCTCAACATTTCTACATCTTAACAACTAAATTATAATATGTATTTTAAGGGCTCAAAATTAACAGAAATATGCCAAAGTGACACTTTTACCTCTTACGTGCAGTGTGGAACTGCATTTAGAAATTAACTTCAAAAGTTACTATCTCCTCATATGAACAAAGAAATGTAGAAAATGAAAACATAACATGATATTGCTTTAAATTTTCTATGAAGGACGAAGAGAGTAGTGCATTAATGTAATACATACAAGACCATGGAAAGAAAGCAAACCCTCCTTTCTCTAGTTGACGGGAAAGAAAAAGGTAACATTACATGGATTGGAAGAAACCCTCTGAAGTGATTCATGCCTACAATACCAGCAACCTGCAATGCTCAAGGTAACAAACAAATGAAGAAAAAAAACAATTGACAATACCTTGCACTTGTCACTCCATTTGAGTGCAAGCGCGAGTCATCCAACGTGGAGGCTGCCCTGTCGTGCAGCGCCCGCATGCGCTGCTGCTCCGTGAACACAGGAACACAGGAGAAACCTTACTTAATAAAACCAACTCTTAGGCTGTACAAAAATATATAAATTTTATTTAGCACGAATGAACACAACGTATGATCATCAGAAAAGGTACCCAGCTAGTTCCTAAAGAATCAAAATTGCAACATGATGTAAAATTAACCGTACAAAACATTTTTTAAAATAAAACTGAGTTAAAAGATGTAGTAATAGAAAGCTCTGTACAAAAATCACCTTTCATTTTTTTAAAAATCAAGTATAAATGACTAAGCTGAACATTGTCTTTGGTAACTAATCAAGTTTAGGTCCTGTGTTCACTTTCATTCGACAGCATAGCACACACCAGAGCTGAAAAACTTCACTCGCAGGCCTGGAGTCCCAAACCATATCACAACCATTACATAATTTGCATTCCCACATCAAAAAAGAAAAAAAAGTCACATAAATAATGCTAGAATAAAATTTTTCGTATAATTGGAAAGAACAATGAAAACATTCATCCAGTCTTGGAAGTAAAACACTGCACTGGAGTAGATTACTAAAGAAAACCTACCACAGACTTACAGAAAGATGTCAACGTACTTCTCAACCTGCTCAACAAGGCGGACTTCAATTCCAACATCAAAACATAACAGGAGAGTTTACAATTGAAATCAAAACATATTTCAAGTGAAATTACACTTGAGACTTTGCCAATATTCCTGATACCTACATTATTTAAATCAAAAACAAGTCATGAATTAATAAAAATTTAAAGTCCCAAATGTCTGGCAACTGTGTTCGACTGGGGAGAAAATCTGATTAACTATACAAAGCAAGGAAAGACATGCATTCCTTTTTTTTTACTTTAACTATCTAAATAAACACTGTACAAACACTTCTGCCTTAGAAATTCATTAGGAGTATTGATGTCATTTTTCTTATGTTGTTTTAACTGAATATCACAGAGAGTGATGTGAGACAAATGCATGACAAAGAAATGATTAACATATGAACACCAGTAAAAAGTAATGGAAGTCTTTGCAAATAATTAAATGAAAGAAGATCATGATGATAAACAATCAATACCAGAAAATATTGCACTGTAATTCTTAGAACATTTGATATAAGCAGAAAGTTTTAATTTAATTTAAGTTGTTGAAATAGTATTATACAACATTTTCCACCTCATCTGAAACATTTACCTGAGGATTAATTTGCTCTCCAGATATAGTTGTAGAATCATTCTCATTCAAACCATCGGATACTGGGCCATTAGCCCCTAATTGAGCAACATCAGCAGTGTCTTGATGGTTACCTTCAAACCTATCCACTGATTCTGGTACCAATTTGTTCCCATTATCAAAAGAGTCATAAGATTCTGCTTCTCTAGGTGGAGCAGTCTCATTCATATCAGTATTAAAGTCCCCCCTCGGTGGAGATTCTACAAATGTCCTTTCATGTGCAGCCGCTAAGGATGAACCTTCTCTAGGTTCATAGTCGTGTTGCACAGTTTCCTCCTGCTGTGATGAGGGATGCTGCACTGTCTCTGAAAACTCAACAGGAAATGTGTTGTTTCCAGCCAAGTCAGAGTCATTAGTATTATGTTGGCTAGGTTGCCAATCATCATTTCGCCTAGGTTCACTTTCACTTTGAGATGGAGCAGGCTCATCTCGCGACTCGGCTAGAGTTTCATGGTGAGTTTCAGATTGGGCTTCAGGTTGAGTTTCTGGACGAGCTTCCGGGTGAGCTTCAGGGTGAGCTTCTGGACGAGCTTCGGGGGGACCTTCTGGACGAGATTCCGGGTGAGCTTCTGGACGAGCTTCCGGGTGAGCTTCCGTACGAGCTTCAGGGCGAGCTTCATGGTCTGCGTCAGTTGGGGGACCAGCCTCCAGGTCTTGTTGTGTGGCACCGGGACCACTGTCCTGGGAAGGCGAAGAGTTCGCCCACCGGGATCGACGTCCCCGTTCTCCTCTGTCTCTACCCCTGTCTCTGTCTCTCTCTCTGTCTCTATCTCTCTCCCGTTCCCTTTCCCGCTCCCTATCCCTATCCCTGGATCTAGGTCGGCCCCCGAGAGCCATCTCCCTTTCGCGGGCACGCTCCATTTCCATCTCCAGTTCCATGTCTGGTCCGGGCCCAGGTCCCATGAAGGGCCCGTCATCCATGTCCATGCCCATCATGCCCCGCCACGCGCCGCCCGGCCCCGGCGGGCCCAGGGGAGGTCCTCGAGGATGCCGGCGGTCCATGTCGTCGAAGGGCATGCCTCCGGGGCCGAAGAACGCGTCGGGCGGCCCGTCCAGCATGGGGCCGTCAAAGCCCATGGGGAAGCCGCGAGGTGGGCCTTGGCCGTCTCGCCACAAACCTGCCAACAGAACAGCGAGCTTAGAGGGACGTTCACCTATTAATGTCACGGCAACCATGGAAAACTGACACACAATTATGAAAATTAAAAAAAATAGTCAAATTAAATTCAAGAATGAATGTCTGCTGACAATAACAAAACCGATCAACTAGGTTGGGTAGGGCAGGCGTGAGCGTGAGCTGGGGTCTACATACTGTGCTAGAAAAACTGACAGAGATTGCTAACAGCCAAGTGGTGAGGAGTTAAATTGTGAAAGCCAAAAAAAATTAGCTGGTAGTTCTTATTCACTGGTCTTTGCTTCCCATGGGCTGGAGAAGGACTCACCAGGATGAGGGCCTCGAGGCCGAACGCGAAACATGAAATCAGGCCCTGTGAATAGGAGGATCCAATTCACTATGAGAACTACTCTTTAAAACCATTATCACTAAGCATTGAAACATTTCTATTACTTCCTAAAAATAATATAAAAAGTGGCAAGAATAGGCTTTTGAGTGATTGGACAGACATCTTTGCTAACATTTACTGTTACGATGGAAGTTTAAAAGGGTCTACTCAGATAATGCGTTTTCGGGAAGAGATGGGAGAGCAAACTTGCTGCACACTGGTTACACAGGCGTTCATATCAGTGTTTTGATTGGGCGGGTACAACCTAAACTTTTCGGCCATACCTGCCCAATTGAAAACACTACCAATTCATGTGGGCCCCACCAAAAAGAGATACTTCGAAACCAGAAACCGACATGCCTTTGTTCGTCTGCCTCCAACCACCACAAAAGCCGTATTGTTGCTACAGAAAAAGTGAGAGATTGTCCGTAAAAAAAAACATAGTAAATAATAAAGTGAAAGAAGGGAAAAGGCATAATTGATATAGCGTTGTAGTCAGACAGCAGTAAAGCCCTACCCTACCCCTAGCCTACAGCCCTGGTCGGGGGCGGGCGCTCACCTCCTCGGCCCATCATTGGGCGCGGCCCCCGGGGCCCCATCATGCCCCTGGGAGGGAAGAAGTCGGGCGGCATGTGGTCGAAGTCGTCTGGGTGCGGTGGGCCGTGCGGCGGGCCGTGTGGCGGTCCGTGCATGTCCATGGGGTCGAACATGTGCGGGTGCGGCCGGCCGTGCGGGTCCATCATCCTGCCGCGCGGGTCGAAGTCCATGTCGTCGGGGTGCATCATGTCGAACTCGTCCGGCATGGGGCCGTGGGGACCTCTGGGCGGCAGCAGCGGCCCGTCGCGCGGGTCGAAGTCCGGGCGCGGGGGCATCCTTGGACCGCGGAAGTCATCCGGCATCATCGGATCGAAACCGTCAAAGTCCGGCCCGTCAGGTCCGAAGTCTGGGAGCGGGCCCCTCCCGAAGGCCTCGCGGCCGCGAAGGAACTCTTCGCGCTCCAGCGGATGCATCATGTCAGGATGCGGGGGACCACCAAGTGGGCCGTGGGGGCCTCGAGGGACGAAGCCGTCAGGCAGAGGTCCACGTCCACGGAAGCCGTCCGGAGGGAGGCCCGGGCCAGGGGGCTCGCCGAGCAGGCCGAGACCCACGGGAGGCCCGCCAGGTCCACCACCTGGGGGCCCGCCTGGCGGCCCACTCATGGGACCTCCCATGGGCCCCCCAGGTGGCCCAACAGGGGGTCCGGCTGACGGTCCACCCGGGACCGGACCTAGGATGCCGGGAGCCACACCTGACGGTCCTGGTTGAGGACCAGGAGGGCCACCAGGAAGACCGGGACCGCCTGGAGGACCTCTGAGACCAAACATCGGCCCACCTAGAGGATCAAACAAAGTTATCGAATAATTCAATGCAACTAGGAAACAAAATTATGTGTTTCTTCAAATAATTAACAAAACCAACCTGGCGGTATACTCCTATTCGGGAAGGCTCCGTCTGCTTGAGGACCTTTGCCATCTGGCGGCGCGAGCTTGGGCATGTCCAGGAGAGATGGGGGTTTGTCGTCATCATGCTTCTTGCCATCGTCACCATCCTTGTCGTTGTTTCTGCGATTAGATTGTCGTCCAAACGTAGAGCTCCTAATCCACAATAAAAAAGTATTAAGGTTTCAAATACGTCAAATGGAAATTTAGAGCTAATTTTTTAAGTACAGACCTTAAGTCCGAGTTTGAGGGCACGTCCATGTTTGCAAGACTGAGTAGCCTGTCTGCCAAACTGAGCTTAGGCGCTTCTTTGTCGCCATCCTCCTTGCCCTCTTGGTTCTGGTTCTCCCACGGTTTGGATGGTCCACCATCCCTGTCATCACGATCCTTGTCGCGACTCCTGCCCCGATCCCGATCCCTGTCACGGTCTCTCCTATCCCGGTCACCCCACCGGTCTCTTCCTCGGCGGTCCCTGTCCCGGTCTCGGTCACGGTCTCTGTCTCCTCGACGGCGGTCCTTGTCTCCGCCGCGGTCCCGGTCGCGATCTCGATCACCGCGATCCCGCTCCCGGCTAGATCGGTCCCGGTCCCTGCGCCCGTCGCGGTCTCTTCCTCTGTCCCGATCGTCTGCGTCTTCGTTGTTGGCCATTCCTTGTGGAGGTGGGAAAGGCGGAGGCTGGCTGAAGTTGCCCGGGAGGTTGGGTGGCGGTTGCATGAAGGAAGGCTGAAGGTGAAGCGGCAGGTGCGAAAAGGACGGGCCACCCAGGGAAGCCAATAGCTGGTCGCTCAGACTAAAAAAGAAAAGAAAAACATCACATAAAAACGAAAAATAGATATTTAAAAATTAGTTAAACTGAAAGATAACTCGCATTTCATACCTAGCGTTTTCAGATTTGTCAGGTTTTGGATCGTCATCCTGATCCACGTCCATGTTTTCATCATCTTGGTGGTTAGCAGATGAATGCATAGGCGCTGCAGAAAATAAAATAACATTGATTTATAATTATTTCTAAATTTTGAAATAGGTAAAAACAATACAAACATCATAAATGAACAACACAAAACAAGAGAAATAGCAAATAACAAAGAAAGTTTGACACATGGTTTTGCAGGAGGATATTAGGCTTATCCCACAAATTAAGCAATGATAGGAACACCAAGCACCCAAATTTCACAAAATACACTTGGGCAAACAGAGGTAACAGATTCTAGGAGTTTGCCAAGAACATGTATTAATAGAATAACACAATATACAAGGAGCTTTCCAGGAACATGAAGACCTGATAGCTCACCATTAGGTGTGTGTTGAGGCACACGAGTTGGAGCACCAAATGGTTTACTTGGACCCTCTGTGGTAGGTGGAGGCACTCCCACAGGTGGTACCACTTTACCAGCAGGGGAAGGAGAGTTAGCAAGACCCAATCCCATAATACCAGCTGCACATTATGGAAAAGTCACCAAATCTGTTAGTTTACCCTCAGGTAACAAAGAATGAGGTTTTAAAGACAATAGTGAAAAAGAATTAGATATGAAAATGACAGCCCACACAGAAAGACTTGGTTTACCCGATTAAAATCATTGGGTTGCAGTCACAGTGAGTGTTTGAAGATGCCTTAATGTATATTTTCATTATATCAACCTGCAGTTCCCAGCCCTACTACAATGTTGCTGGCAGTTAGTAAATTCTAGATAAGAAAAGGGAGTTACTTACGAGCACTGGAGAATGGAACATTGACACCTTGTTGAAGCATTTGTTGGGCCATCATTTGGGCACCAGGTGGTACAAGCATGCCCTGCATGCCAGGTGGTGGTACACCCATTGAAGGCATTATACCATGACCCATAGCCATACTCATGGGTGTAATTAGTCCTACACAAACAAACAAAATAAGATTAAAGTCATCTTCGCAGCAAAATTACTCAAGCAGACACAAGTAACTTTGCTTACGGGGCATATTGTGAATACTAAATGGTTGCACCATTCCTATTCCCCCAGGAACAGGAATTCCTCCAACATTTGGAGCATTGCCTAAGACTGGCAACTCAGTACGTGATGGGGGTGGCTGTGATGTATCAACACGAACTGGTGGCTGAACTTCTGGTAAGGGAGCAAAGCCTGGGGGTGCTGTGGGAGTAGCTGCAGCTTCCTCACCTGGTGGCTTCCCAGATGACCCAGCTAAAATATGGGTCATAGTTTAAAATACCAGATTACAAATGTTGGACCAAAATGCACATGAAAATGAATTTATAGAAACAAATCATATGGGGTGGAACATACGTTTTAACCAGTCAGGCAAGGTCTCTTCGTCAATCATGCCTCCTTCTTCTAAAGCCTCAAGGTTTACACCTGAAGTCAACTTGGTCCAAGCAATGTATGAAACGCCCAAATCAACTTCCCAATAATCTTTCCATTCTTTTCCTTTAACTCCTCTTCCTGGAGCCCAAGCCAGCTGTAACATTAAAGAGGAATAAAGTGCATAAGAAAGACATCGGTTGAAAAGTTGAAGTCTTGAATACTTGATTAAAATGTAATAAATTTTAGGATAATAGATGAGATAACTCACAGTGATAGCTTTCCCTTGAAGTTTGAAATTTTTTAATTTGTTCAGTGCTCTGTATGCGTCTTGACGCCGGTTCATACAAATAAAAGCACATCCTCTAGGTGGAATAAGATCAATTGACACAATATCACCATACTCTCCGAATGTGTCCGATAGCTCTTCTTGATGCACGAGTTTTGATAAATGACCGACCCACAGTGTGGTACTACAAACTGCAAGCACAGAAAACAACATTGTAAAATCAACATTCGAATAAAGCCATGAGATAACTGCAAATAACTGTGCTAAGGATTAAACTTGTTCCTATAATAAATTCTATATTTACCTGCCAAGTGATCTTTCTTAATGGGAGGCAAACCCTTCTTTCTCCTTTCACGCTCTTTTTCCCTCTGCTTCTCCTTATCAGCCTCCCTTTCTTTTTCTTTCTCTTTCTCCTTTTCTCTATCACGGTCTCGTGATCTGTAGTATTGGATCAAAGTCAATGAAAAATCCAACGAACTAATTTACATTGTAATATTTGGAAGTCAACCCACCGTCTTCTACGTGATCTCGAACCAGAACGGCTAGATGATCTTGACCTAGAGCGCCTACCACGGCGTCTTTCTCTAGATCTTGATCTACTTCGTCCTCTTCTTCTTTTACTTTTAGGTGACAAGCTACGAGATCTACTTCTTTCTAAATTGATTATTTCAACAGAGCTTCCAGTATCTTGGCTACCACTTGGTCTTCTAGAGGAGAAAACAACAATGTTCAGTAACAAAAAGTAACAGAAAGGTGTTGCTCGTGTACCGAGAGCATCAGGTAATAGAAAAGGAAATGGGCAACTTACACAGATGATCTATCTTCATTGATAAATTCTATTTCAGAGTCAGCCTGTTCCCCTTCCTCCAATGGGCTACGATCCCGTTTCAATGAATTAGGCATGTAGCCAGGAGGAGGTTGAGACATATCGGGTACAGGAAAGGCATATGCTGCCTTACTTTGGTCAAAAAGACTGTTTGTTGGAGGTGGTTGTTTCATGTCAGGCAACTTGAGGTCACACTCAGCAGCAAAAGGCAATTTCTGAATCAAAAATAATTTTAGTGACATTCTAAATTTTGAATTTTTGCACCATATAAGATAATTTTAAGATAGAAAAATTAAACTTACAGGAACAGTTTGGGCTAGATGTTTATCAAATTCTTCCTCTTGTTGTTTCATTTCTTGCAGTTTTCGCCTCTTTTCCTCCTCTTGTTGTTGCTGCATTTGTTGGAAATTTTGGAGCTGACGTAAAATTTCAGGATTTGCCAGAATTCTAGAAAATAAAATGAATACAAATTAGTGGATTTATTCTGAAAATATTCTAGAAGTAAAATATGCTATGGACAAAAGACACAAATGCAGATTTTAAATTTTTGTTGGAAGAACTTACGAGTCTAATGTCAACTGAGAGCCTGTAGGTTTGGGAGATGGTGCAATAACTACATCATTGTCATCTTCTTCTTCACCATAGTCGAAGTCCAACAGCTTCCGGTCAAACTTTACCTGCATCCAACAGAGTATTTATCAGAACTTGTTAAGATGAAATTTTGACTCATGACGCACCAAATGCAGATGTATGACAATGGCACAATGGAACACAACATGAGACAATAGCATGTAAAACTCTAACTACGCTTCACACCTGATCAGCTTTAGTTGAATCTTGTTGCTGTTTATTCATATTAATTAAGTTTTGAAGTTGTTGCAACTGTTGAAGAAGGTTCTCTGAATTGGATGGAACAGGGGTCTGAAAAGAAGTAAAATTTGAAGTAAAAATGAATGAACCTTAGACATGAAGAGAGGAAATGAATACTACTTACAGGTGTGCTTTTAGAGGCTTCTAAACTTGAAGCTTGAGCCAGCCAGTGAGGAGTAACACTCTCAGGTTTGTTATTCGGCTTGGAAACTGATACAAAAACCAAATGAGTTACAGGGAGTACACTTTTAAATGGAGGGACCAAATATGAACAGAGGGCATACCTTTGGTTGGAGTTGAAGCTAACCCATTACTGGTAGAAGACATATTGGTTGTAGAGGCGGTGGCAGCAGCGGCTGCAGCAGCAGCTGCTGCAATAGCTTGGATTGCTGGATCTTTGTGAATTGCATGATTAGGGTCCGCCAGGTCAAACAATGGTTGAATTACTTCGGGAACAAACACTTGATTTTTTTGCCATAAATTGAGCACTCTGATTACTTTGCTCTGGAACAAGAAAGACACGTAAAACAAAGGTAGAAAAGAGAAAAAGAAAGAAAGAAAGGAAGAAAGACAACAGCTCAAAAGTAAGTAAGAAAACTTTAGCGTGATAGTTCACCTTATCATCAGGATTACAGCGGAAAAGATATATGAAAGTGGTCTGCATATTCTTGGAAAATCTAGGAGCAAAAACATCCTTTTCCGATCCAAACTGATGGCGGGACTGTCTCACAATGGAATCAATTACATACAGCCCAGGAACTTTATATTCAGGTTTGCACTGTAATTAAAAAAAGAACAACCTTTAGACACTGGAAAAAACAATGGTATAAGACAGAATTAAAGTTGATTGATACATACCTTTTGTATAAACTTCTCTACACTCTGCACTACATGTTTGTAAAATTTAATGGCCTTGATAGCTGTTCTTGTAATTGTTGTCATTTTGGCCTTAGATATCGGAGGCTTGACCTCATATAATGAGGACAGCTGAAACAAGCAAAACCCAAACATTAAGATGAGATATTAACATAATTAATTAATTGCATGTTTTTATACAGCATATGAGTAAAGCAAGAAAACTTCCAATAAGAATAACAAATTTGATATCTCTGGGGGATTTGAACTTAATAATTTGATACAATACAATTTAAACAAATTTTACTGATTCAACAACTCTAAAAATAGCTTGAATAGTTTACTTATCAGAATAGAAAGCAAGCTCTTGAAGTAAGAAAATACGTAGAAAAAGTGATAACAATTAGTCATCATTCCAAGAAAATATTTGTGGTAAGAACAAACTTGTGTCCATAACCAAAATTTGGTTTTCTGGTATGACACCATCAGTCATCCGGGATAACCTCTAAAAGTAAGGTACCACATAAAGGTTTTTAAGATTTTAAAGGAAAAAGTAAATGATAAAATTTTGAAGTAAACAAGTAAAAATTCGTAAAAGAGGATTCTTTTCGGTCTTTTCTTTCGAAAGTGTTTGACTTTTTAACGGTGCCGGATGACAAATAGGCCAAGTAAATGTTGCGTTTGCAACGTAGAAAGAAGGCAAAAATGGGAAAGGATGTTTCGCCGGTACAATTTATTGAAGGAGGATAAGTTAGAGAAAATCTGGAAAGCAGTCACATCGTAATAACATGACAACTTTCATACAGCCGATAGCAATAACATGAGTAGCATCATTTGAAAATTGCGAAGGTTTACGCACCTCCTTATTAAATTCCTTTACGGCGTCCATTGTTGAAAGACCGGAGATATAATTAATTTAAGAAACAAATCTTAACACCGCCAAAGTTCTTCCGCAGTCCACATTCATTATTAATCACAATTAACTAAATAAACTAACTACATAATCGCCATGCATCAAAAAATCCAAACTCGAGGAAAAGATGGCTGCCTCTCTCTCTCTCTTCCTCCCCCTCCCCTCCCATGATGCCGCGGTTGGCGGTTTTCTTCTTCTTCCTTGTCGCACCTTTTTTTAACAAGAAAAGGCTGCGGGTGGCACGGCGCGGAATTTGAAAAGAAGATCATTACGATCTTGAAAAAGAGAGAAAGACGTAACTTATTGATCTTTGAGTGAGGGGAAGCCACCTCTTGGGAAGAGAAATGTGATGCTCGTACTTAGGGGTTGTGATATTTAGAATTGCCATTTAAATATTTTAATAATTTAGTGTTTGAAAGGTGCAAGGAATAATTTCTGTGTTTCACAGATACTCCTGCAAGTCTCAGATTAAGTTTCATGTGAGTGGAAAACAAGGGATACCCATTAAAACTACTGTATAAAATACATAACTGCAACTTTCTTTATTCATATCTACTGAGTACAAAGCCATAAAATTCACATGACATTTTAACTGTCAACAAAACACAAGTATCACGTTAGCCTCAGAACAACAGAAAATAAACACAAAATGTAAAAGGAAACATTGATAAATACTATGTGTCACAGGCTGGCATGTCTAATGCAAAAGTGGAAAATAGGATGGTTGTGACAAATTGAAATCAGAACTTGACAATAGTCTGAAAACAAGGACCAAGTACCTGAAACAAAAGCACAGAAAATTAACTTTTAAGAAAGCTCCGATAAAATGATCCAGATTGAAAAGGAAAAGAAAAACAAAACCAAAAATACAAGATTACACACCTCACTTGTCCTTGTCAAGATCATTGACACGTTGCTTGTGGCGAGCAATGGCCTCTTGGTGGCGCTTGATCTGCTCCTCATGGAAACCAATCTCATCAGCCAGGTCAGACTTAAGTTTTTTCAACTGTTCTTTTTGCTGAAAAACGAGCGCATAATTAGCAACATATGTACAACTGAAAGTCATCAGCTTATGCAAAGCAAAAATAGTGACCACTTCAGACATTTGCTATTTGAACACTGTATGTTAATGCAGTCCATCAAAAGTGACAGCATTAGAATGGAAAGTATATCATTCCACTTTCATAAATGTGTGATAAAAGCAGTCAACAAATCTGGAAACCTGGGTAAGGGGGTAAAGGCCCCTTTAAACTGTCTTACCTGCTTGTAGAAATATTCGTCTTCAAAGGCAGCCTCTCGCTTGCCCATTGATCCACCAGCTTCCCTAATGGAGCCACCGCTGCCACCACCCTTACCAGCTCCGCTACCAGGTTCACCCAGTCCACCGGCAAATCGTACTTGGCTAGAAGAGAGGGACACAATTTTTAAATTAAAAAACAATGTCCCCCATCAGGACTTAAAACTTAAACAAACACTAAAAAACAGTAACATCCTAAGTCTGTAAGTTTAAATAAGACACAAGACACCAAAATGTTGCATCAACTGATCTTACTTGTCCAAGTCATTTTCATTAAACATTATCGAGCCTTAACCTATATATCTGAGAAGCGTATAAGTTGCACCTTGTTGTGAATGGTCGTCACGAGTGAAACCGAAACTGAACAGTCAATGGTGTTCTCGGCGCACTAAATAGATCACGTCGATCGGAATTTTGGCACCAGTGACTGACATTCTCGAGGACCGTAACCTATACGACCTTCAATACCTGACCACCGATGATATTTTAAAACCGTACAGCAGCGAAGAATCATACTGATAAATCTGGCAGGTGATAAGAGCGTTAATTTAAGAATTACCTCATAACAGGTACATTGGAAATAAGCCGGGTTGACAGGATTTTCCTGAGAGCCGACATTATTGGTTTCGTGCGATAAGATGACAGCAGTCAAACTTGCTAGACTGACTACAGAACCCGACTACCGAAATCAGCAGAAGACCCGACCCGCCCCCCTCAACCCGAGCCGACCCGAGCCGAGCCGAGCCGCCGAGCACTAGCGCACCGAGATCACGCAAAACCGGAAACAAGTAAAATGAGATGAGAAATTCACACGGGCTCTTCTGGCAGGTGTGTCCATAGATGGAAACTTCCCTCTTGCTTAGCTCATCTGCTCCCCCCCCCCTCTCCTGTTCAGTTTGCGGTGGGAGTTGAACGTGAACTATGAGTTGCACGAATTACAAGAACTAATGGCGACAGTTACTCACTCCAGGTCGTGCCCCGCAGAGCCGTTGACGCCGCGGGGGTGGCTCGGGTCCGCCGGGTCGCCGCCCCCGCTGCTGTTGTCCGTGCTCGCCTCGTCCCCCACCGAGGCGACGCTGCTGGGGACGCTGGCGTCGGCGACGTTGTCGGGGTCAGGGTCAGGATCCTCGCCAGCGTCGCTCTTGGCAGTCGTGAGGAGGTGGCCGTGGTGTGGCAGCGGCGACCCCCGGGACTGCTTCGTGGTCGCGTCCGTCTCACCCCCCACGTCGCGCTCCCTCGAGCCCGCGCCCCCTGCCCGCTCACACGTCCTGGTGGCGCCACAGCATGGGGCATTGTATTATTTTGGAACAAGGAAAGGCGTCGACTCATCGACTAAATACAAACTTCACTACGAGCAAGAGCAACTCACCTGCACGTGAGCTCGCCGGCGCCGACCCTCTCGTCCCGCAGGGCGATTCTTCTTCGGACCTCCGCCGTCTCCTTCTCCACTCGCAAGAGAGCCATCTTTGCGGCGTGCTCCTCCTCGAGCATCTCCAGCCGCCGCCGGCTCTCCAGCCGCCTGCCCTCCAGGGCGGAGGCGGTGTGGTTGTTGGCCTGCTGCTGCGGCGTCCCGGACCGCGCGGCCCGGGCCATGGGCGTCGCCGCAGACCGGGCGCCGCCGGCGCTGCCGTGCGCCGACAGGCCGTGGTGGTCGCCGCGGTGCTGCTGCAGCTGCTGCTGCTGCATCGGCGGCGCGGGGGAGTCCCAGGTGTGGTTGGTCTGATGGTTGTTTCTGGCGGGCAGATGCTCGGCTTGGCGGTCCAGGAACCGCCTCTTGTTGGGGCCGCTGCCGCCCGCCAAGTTCACGGCCGTAATGGATAGTCCGGAGGGAACTGCAAACGTGAAGGAGCGTCTGTAGAGTGGCTTCAACTTCAACTTCAACGAGGGTTTTAACGACTGCTTGTTCATAGCGAACTGGAGCTCTATTAAGTCTATTTTGCTGACAGAGGAAGGAGAATATAGTGGAAGCGGGTAGAGCGCGCCTGGGCGGGCGGGTTTGCCTACTCACAGGCGACAATGGTCCCTCACGGGCAAACAGAGCAGTCAAACCATGGAGACATAAGGGTTCATCCAGAAAGAACGTCCGTCATTGGCCATTACAAACCTGGCAAGTTCAGCCCTTGCAAGCTCTCATGGCGCCTGGTAGGCAGACAACATCTTGCCTGCGACGCATACGTGTGCGGCGGGGTGGCCTACCCTGAATCTTACAGGCGCCAAGCTACAGTATTTTGCCGAATGAATCTGAGGAAAACGGACGTACTTTCTGGATGATCCCTAATGGTCGAACCCTCCCGCACCGGCGCGTGCGCCCAAACCCGCTAGCTGCTCGATCAATCGGGAACCCGCTTCTCTCCCTCCTCTGTCAACCAAACGATACTTTACGGCGGCGCTGCCCGCCCCCAGTAGTTGCCTCCATACCCATCGATGTGTCCAAGTCAGGTACGTCGTTGAGCTCCACCTTGGGCCTGAGCATGCTCATGAGCCCGGCGCCGTCCTCCACGGCAGCATCCTGGTGGTCCATGTGCTGGTCCACGTGGTGTCGGAGATTATCGACCAGCCGTTCGAAGCGCTCGCCATCGTCCGGCTCCGTTTTGATATCTCCTTTCTCCATGAGCCTGTCGTGGTGCTGGACTCTGCTGTCGGTGTAGTCCAGCATGTCGTCTGCGTCCTCCTCCTCGTCGTCCATGGTTATGGGACTGCCGACGTCATCCCCTATCCCGTGACCCTGCTGGTAGTCGTCGACCTTCCTGGCGCTCTCCAGGGTCTTCCACACGTCCTCGGAGAGCGCGGAGGGCCAGCGCTGGCCGGCCACTTCGGCGCCGTAGTTCCGCACTCGCTCGGCGAACTCCATCATCTCGGTGCGGGCCTGGCCCTTCATGCGGCGCCACTGCTCCCGCACCCGGTGCGCGTCGCGGTCGTTCCCGAACCTGCCGGACAGAGAGTGCTAGATGAGACATTTATTTGAAAACAACTTATTATTGAAGCCGGTTTCGGGGCGTTTGCAAGGTCGGATCATGTCCAAGCGACCAAAATTGCTCAAAATGGACCCTAGTACAACTGTACAAAATTTGGTAGATGAGTCATTGAGTGCAGTATTAGGGCTTTGCATGCAGGTTGCAGCACAGGATGCGCTCATATGCCGTTGCTCACAGGATGGTCGCCCAGCCCCGTTGGAACGCGCTGCCTCTGGACGCCGTGGTCAGTGAGGATGGGCAGACCCGCCCGCACTCCTGCATGCGGGCTAGCATGCCCCTTTGCTCCAGCGAGGCTGGGCGACCACCCTGCACACGACCCCTCTCCCCTCGCCCCGTGGTATCGACGGGCGCGAGGCGCACTGCACCAGACTCCCCCGGACTCCCCGCTCTGGAGGCCCGTCTCAAATCGAAAAGACGCGCGCTCCAGTCGCTTTTCTCCGGGGAGATTCGGCCCGGACCCAGCCGAGCCGAAATCCGAATCAAATGCCGAAGTTGCCGCGTTGGCCCGGCCGCCGAAGGGACCAGCCGGCCGCCGGGCCGCGGCGCTTCTGTCTCTCTCGCTCCCATCTCATCCATCCCCACCACGTACTCACCTCGCCGCGAACGCCGCGTGGATATCCTGCCAGGCCATGCCTTTCATCGCGCTGGAGGCCGAGTCGATGCGCTTGTTCTCCAGTACGTCGAGGCGTGACTTGACCAGCTGAAGGAGGTACATCTTCTCCTCCAGCGACCAGTTCTGCGTGCGCTCCCTCTTGCGGTACATGGTGGTGCGGCCGCTGTCGTCATGAAGGTGGACACCACGCCGCTCTCCGGGGTCTCTGCGCGGGGGAGACTTAACCCACCTTACACACGCTCCGATCAGTCAGCTGTAACTGCAGCGTTTATCTTAACGTCGCGGCACGGTGGCGTGACAAGAGATACCCGGGTGTTAGCCGCGACCAGCAGATCGCCGGCTTAGAAACGGTGCGAAAGCACTCCGCCCGCTGCGCCGGTCGCATCATGGGCCAGCGTGCGACTGGGGAGCGCGGCGGCGGCGGACCAACAGCCTAACCGTGACTAACTTCGTGGAGCTTTAGTCGGAAGATAAACGG